GAACAAGTCATCCACAAAGGATGAATCTCAAGAAGCAGTAGAGTAGAAATGAGCCATGGTTGTGGACAGATCCCCCCAAAGAGCTTCCTGGAAGCTCCAGTAGGTCACAGTGACGCAATGGGGAGTTTCCCATGCTCACCATTCCTGCCCTCAGAGAGAGAGGGACGGCCTAACCAGAGACCATTAGTTAGATTCGAAGGGGTCCTCATGATTGTGTTGGAAGGACTCAGCTGTGGAGGAAGCATGGTCATGAGACTGAACAACCAGGAGCATCACAGACATCTCAGAGGACTCTAGTGAGAATAGAACCTGGCGACGAAAGCCTTGACCGTATGCCAGCCAAACCTACCATGCAGGCCAGCACTGTGCCTGCCAGTGCTCTCTGAGTTCTTCACAAGGGAGAGGTTATAACACCCCCAACCACACCCCCAAACTGTCAACTCTGTAGGACAGATGAGTCGCTGCTTTTCTGCATTTACCTTGATACTGAAAATAACACCCTGGTGAACAAATTTTGTTGAACTGAGTTCATGAATACCTTGTTTCCCTTTGTGCTAAATTCAGTTGATACAGTCTTCACACACACACACATACACACACACACACACACACACACACACACACCATCTTTTTAAATTCTCACCTTAGTGATACTTTAAAAATAATAGATGAAGAAAGACTGAGAGGATGGACTTAGGTATTGGTACAACTTAAGAACGAAGTTGGTCTGGAATGCTCAGTAAGTATTTTAAGTTAACTCAAACCACTAGAGGGAGTGTGCACAGACACAGTTGGAATTGGATAGAAATTGCATTCTTGGCAAATCTTTTGACCAGGCATTATTCTTTCTCTGTTAAAAAAGAAAAAGTAAACACTTGAAAAAGAGAGAGGCTGTCATGTATTTACATCATTCTCTGATGTGACACAAAAGCAGAGTTAAAACACTAGTTCATGTGGGCACTGTGGACTTTTTAAAAACTTAAACTCATGAATTTGCTACAGTTCTGGTATTTAAGCTTAAATAGCAACTTAATATGGTTAGTTGAATGCCCAGTCTTGATGCCACCTTTTTGAACTATCCATTCAAAAGTCATACATTAAATACATCCCATTTCTCATTTAAAAGTAAAAGGGACTTTTGTGCTCATTTTATAGTTGGAGGGGGAAAATCCAGTCTTAGCTCATCAATTATCTAAGCTATATATACCCACACTGAAAAGTTTGGGTTTAAATGGAAAGAATCCGAAGAAGCATGACTCAGCAGACTCCTGTATGACTTAGCAGACTCCTGTGAGATCTCAAGTTACAAGGTTGGCTTAGGACTTAGTATAGCCAAAGAAACACAAAAGAAAATAATAATCACATTTCCTGTCACTCACGCAAAATATATATATATTTACGCAAAATATATATATATATACTTATATATATATACGCAAAATATATATATATATTTACGCAAAATATATATATATACTTATATATATATACGCAAAATATATATATATATATTTATATATATAAAAAATGCCAAACATTTTATATATATATATATTATATATGTATAATATATATATTATACATATATAATATATGTATATATATAATGTTTGGGATTTTTTAAATGAGCATATACAGTGTTGGCAAACATAGCGGGAATAGTGTTCTCATTTACTCTGGTAGAAGCATGAACTGATACAGTGTTTTTGGAATACAATTTAACAAGGAGAATTAAATGTTTTTAAACTTACATGGATTAACACAAAAATTTGCATTCAGTCATTTTCATTGCTCCATTAGCTGTAGTAATGAAGTAATAGAAACCTTTTGGTTATCCAGGAGTGGAGTAATTCAATATATAAAGTGCATCTAAAGTCTATAATGTGCATTCGCTATGGGCATGGAAAATCAGTTTTCTGCAAACTATTTAGTAACAGTATAATGTCTATTACTTCTGTAGAGTTACAAGTGTGTGTGTGTGTGTGTGTAATGAAAGAGTTATCTGTAGTCATGAAACTCCAAGAAATTTTCTTTCTAATTGTTAGTGTTCTGGGTGACATTGAGCAAACTACTTACAAGTCTCTGATTCCCATTTGGGGGAGGTCACACAACTCTGAATACTTCCTTCAACTGAGTTCTCCTTCCTGCTCTCTGGAATCTTAGACAGCTTTCCCCATCTATGTCTGGAGACCAGCAAAGATGACTTCAATTGGGTCACTGTATTGCCAGGATGGAGCGTGGAGTTAACATTGCCACTAGGGAATCCACGCAAAGCATCCCAGGCACCGTCCTCACCCCAACATTACACCCCATTAGGGTAATGCAGACAAAATCAAGTCGCCTTTTTACCAGAGTCACTGATACATTTAAAATTGCCAACTTCTCTCTACCCAGCACTCCCCACCCCCACTAACCTCACTTCATTTTTTCCATAGCACTTAACTGTTTTTCAAAGAAGGTACTGTGTACTCATTGACCATGTTTCAACATCTGTTTTGTTCATTGACACAGCCCCAGCATCTAGAGCACAAATTTTGACTGAATAGAGGAAGAATGAGCAAACAAATGAATGGCTATGAATGTTCTTTAAAATTTTCTGCACCAAAGAATCACTCTGTAGAGTAAGACATTGTAAGTGGCAACTTTTTTTTTTTTTTTTAAGATTTTTTTATCTATGCATACAAGAACTCCGGTGCAGGCCAGAGGTGTAGGGATAAGAGGACTCACCTTAGATATGTGGATAGCAGAACAGGCAGATCCACTGAAATACACTGCTGAGGGGAGCAGCGGTGAGACAGGAGAGGCCTGCTGTGCCCTGTGGGTCAGCTCCCTGACTGGGGACAGCTTCACAGTGCTATGCTTTAACCCCAAGTAGGCCTGTGATTGACAAATTTTGAGCCATATCCAGGCTACATGTTTGAAGCCCTGCAATATTTTCTTGTACATTTTTTTTCCGAAACAATTTAAATTGAAACAAATTCCAAAGCAGTATAGTACACTAGATGGGCTCTTCACTCAGCGTTCCCTAACATCATCCTACATAGTCCCCACAGTGTTTGTCATTGGATACCAGGCTTACTTAAAAATTAGAAACCGGGCCCCCCCTGGTGGCGCAGCGGGTTAAAGCACAGCACTGAGAAGCTAAAGCCACTTCCGCATGAGTTCGAATCCCACCTGCCCCAGAGGTGACCGCATGGCGTGGCAGACCTCTCCTGGCCCACCCGCTGCTCCCCTCAGCAGTGTACTTGGTAGATCTGCCTGTTCTGTACCCCACTCTGTCTCTGGTGAACCCTCTCACCCTCCGCATCTCTGGCCTGTACCCCAGTTCTGTACAAATAAATAAATAAATCTTTTAAAAAAAAAAATCAGAAACTCCTAAGGATTAAGTCTCAGCACTATCAGCTCTATGCTGAGTTCGATCCCCAGCCGGGGACCTGACCCACATGGCACAGCAGACCTCTCCTGACCCGCCCGCTGCTCCCCTCAGCAGTGTATTCCAGTCAATCCGCCTGTTCTGCTCCCACTCTGTCTCTGGTGAAGCCTCTCACCTTCCATACTTCTGCCCTGCACCCGAGTTCTTCTATGCCAAAAAAATTTTTTTTTTTAAATCAAGAACTAAACCATAAAAACATGGGTGTTTTAACTTGAAGCATGTGTATGGGGACACTGACTCCACCTCCTACCCGCAGAGTCACTTGGGGTCACCCTGTGGCACCTTTCAAGCAGGAAGCTGCTGCTCTGTTTGGCCCAGACGCCTCTGCTCCCAGTTTTATTTCCAGCACCGATGATTAGTTGACATTTATCTTCAGACTGTTGGAGCTGCCTGGTGCAGATGAGGGGGTCAGACTCCACCCCCTGACCGCCGCCAGCCCAAGCTGGACTGGACTTATGGGCAGGCCCTCCGTCTTAACCCCACCCCTGATGTCCTCAACCACAGGCTGCTGTGGTAAAGTAAAGCTCCTGTGAGTAAAGCTCCTGAGTGCCCTTTCTTTCATCAGAGCTGCTGCTGAGGCAGCTAACCCAGTGGCTGCAGGCCCTTCACTGCTCCCCTCAGCAGTGTATTTCAGGGGAGCTTGCCTAACTTTATTTTCCCACCTTAAGGCACTTTATTTTAACAGATGAGGGAGCCCCTACACTCCATGGCCACAGGCCTTTGTCTCACGCTGCCCGGTTCCTATAGCAGCAACATCCACTTTGCACCATCCGTCAGGAGCAGGGCCTTCTTTCTCTCCCTCTCCCCTGCTAGCTGTCCCAGTCCTCCATCCTGTGGCTGGATGAAATGTTTTTTTCCTTTTGCTGCGCCAAAGGCCCTTTGTGTTTGTGGCCATGGGTGGCCCAGAATGGGTGAGAGGTTCTGAGCTTTGCCGTGTGAGGATACAACGCCACACCCAGCCAGAGCACAGGCAGGAAAAGGGTGGGAGCTTTCCATTTCATCTGTGGCGGGGACACTTGAAATTAATGTTTTCTGTTAAAGTGCCTTCAGGTGGGAAAATAAAGTTAGGCAAGATGTTTATATTGCTTGTAGATATACCCTATATCTAAATTGAAACGTTCTTTAAAGATTTATTTACTTATGCATACAGAACTGGGGTATGGGCCAGAGGTGGGGGATAAGAGAATTCACCAGAGACAGAGTGGGGAGCAGAACAGGCAGATCCCCTGAAATACACTGCTGAGGGGAGCAGCGGGCGGGCCAGGGAAAGTCTGCTGCACCATGTGGGTCAGCTCCCTGGCTGGGATGACACTCATACTACTGTGGCTCTGATAGCTTCATAGTGCTGTGCTTTAGCCCACTGTGCCACCAGGCAGGGCCCCTGAGTCCCTTTTAAGCACAAGGGTGCGGCCCCACAGTCAGGCAACCCAATGCACATCCCAATGCACACCGGGTTTGCCCTGAAACAAAACCAGCAGGAGCTTTGCACCCCAGGCTCAGGCATCTTGTCCCACTTTCCTCCTGTGTCCCGAAGCTTGACATGATGTCCAGTTTCTTGCATTTCTAGGCCACATCCTGGGCAACCAGCATGACACCACATGGAGAGGGCTCATCTTGACCTGCCTTCGTCGTCATCCCACCTAGCAACAATCTGCAACAAATGGCAGATTTTCTGACCAGACAGATCAGAGTCACTGCAGATGCAGAAGTGAGGTAAACACCAAATGTATTTTCTTCTCCTAGCCTTAAGACAGCCTTCATTGCTTGTATTCTTTCAGTAATGGTAATGTCCCTGAGACTCAGTTGGCCTTCAGTGACCTCTGTTTTTCATACCAAGGTAACAAGAGGTCCACTCTGGGCCCACTGAGGAAAGTCTTGCAGGGACTGACCAGAGCAATCTCATTAGCCCAACCCTGTCAACACATAGAGGAAACAGATCTGCTCTAGTGATCTTGGACCCAAGGCAAAGAAAAAGATCCGGAAGGTTTGCACTGTGTATAATCTGTGTGAGATGCTGCAGACAGTCCCACACAGAGTGCTTGTTCTTCAGCCTCTGGTGCTGCTTCAATGAAATGATCGCTCTAGAAGTGAGGGGAATGGGGTGCAATAAGCCACAGCTTGTATTTGTAATCCACTGTTTTCCAGTTCAATCAGTTGTTGGATGTGGTTTTCAAATATGTCTGATGAATACAACATTGATTTCTGTCTGTGATGAGTGAAGAAAAATCATTGCCGTGAAAACTCACTGCAATCAAGCCATCTGCAGTTTAGTTTGGTTTGAGAAAACCTTAATATGTTGTAGTCAACATTAAAATTTACCACCCTTCAGCCTTAACGTGATCAATTCAGGCTACTCAAGATAGTGATATGTGCAGCGATGCCATTAGGCAAGCCATGTGAGGTTGTAGAACTGGTATCTGCTTCACCGCCATGAAAGAATGTTTTATGTCTTTCCTCATTTAAAACATGTGTAAGCATCTTTTTCTAAAAAGCAGTCAGTTTTCTGCATGTACCCATTTCTCTGCACATTTCTGAAAGTACCTAATCTTACCCACTGTTTAGTTGTATTTAGAATATCTCACATTTTGTCTGTCCTCTTTTTTAAAATTTATTTTTAGATTTATTTATTTATGCATACAGAATTGGGGTGCAGGCCAGAGGCTCAGGGGCGGCGAGAGGCTTCACCAGAGACAGAGCAGAACAGGCAGGTTGACGAAGTACATTGCTGAAGGGAGCAGCGGGTGGGTCAGGAGAGGTCTGCTGCACCATGTGGGTCACCTCCCTGGCCTGGGATCGAACTCATGCTAAAGTGGCTGCAGATAGCTTCATAGTGCTGTGCTTTGACCCCTTGCGCTACCAGGGAGGGCCCTGTCTGTCCTCGTTTTAAACTCTAGCAATTTGCGCTGGAAAGCATTATTTGTACTTGAAAAGTGCTACTGTTTTACCAGTGAAATTCATTGTACTCTATAAAAGTGTCATAGCTGACAATGCACTAGAAATTAGGGACAAATTCAGTCAAATTCAGTTTTCAATTATGTATTTTTTTATTCTGATTGACCCATTTAGCTTTTTGTTTGTTTGTTTGTTTTGTTTTTGTTGTTGTTGTTGTTGTTGTTTCCATTGCAAAGAAATTTATTTTAGGACCATTCATTCTAAGAGCTTTTTTGATCCTTTTCTATCCCAGCTGAATGTGTGAAATCCTCAGTTTGTTTCAGGCCATAAGAACCAAAATTTATGATGTCACAAAGTTGTAACCTTTAAAGCGGCTGTGTTTGATACTTTGATTCATTGGTTCATTTTTTTCTGTGAACTGGACATTTCACAGTACATAATAACTATAATTACCGCATGGAAATAACAAGCAAATTGGGTATGACTAACAAGCATTTATGTTTCAGTGTTTGTGAGGAGAACAGATGTGATGGTGAACATCAGCTGGAACACTCCAGTCCTTGTCAAACACGCATGCTGTTAATCATATATTTACTGGCATGTAGAAAATAGTAAATCATTACTAAATTTCAAAATCTGCAGCATGTGTTTCATGTCAAGACACAAAGAAACGATCCTGTACCCTTTCTGGGTTCTTCTAGGCTGACAAATAATCTAACAAGTATCAGACAGATTGAAGAGAGCCAAAGCAAGTCTGATAACAACTTGTACGCCTCCTGTATACAAGGGAGAGACTCAGCATGACTGACTGACTGGCCCACTTGGTGTCTGCTGCCATCTTAGCTAAGACGGAAGGGGGTGGGGGAGAAACTGGCAGGTGGAGAAACCACAAAGGTCAGTTTGGGGACTTACGGGGAAGACACAGCAAACAAAAGGTACGTATATATAGCTCTGCCTTCTCCATTGAAAAAAAAAAAAAACGGAGCTATGATTGAAAAGAAGTTTTTTCTCTGAAGAGCCCCTTACAGAGAGATGTTGACATATAAATATCAAAAGCAATCTCCATGAAGCCTTCACCCACCCCAGAAATAAAACTTGGCTAAAAAGACATTTCAGGGCTAGTGTATTTTTTTGCCCTCCTATCGTCTTTACTAGAGTTTATCACAAATGCTGTAGATTAGAAGACATATGGAAGATTAAGGGTAGAAGTGAAAAAGAGATGTCTGTTCATTTGTGTGTTTATGTGTTGCAAGGAGAGGAGGTGTGAAGGTTCGCAACGGTAACCTTCTCCAGGAATGGCAGAGAGCTTCTAGAAAATAGAAGAGTCCTTTTAATTATGCAGTCAGTGAACTTATTCTTGCGTAAGAAGAGTAAGGAGCTCTGAGCAGTAAATGACATCCTGATGTCTGTGTGGATCCCAATTGCCCTCCCTTCTTCATCCACCCCTGTCTTCTCTGACTCTCCTTCCTCCCCTCCTCTCTCTCCTTCCCCATCCTCTTCTCCCCAAACCTTTTGAATTTTTTTTTTCTCTCTTAATGTCTGCTTTTGGGTCTTGTCCCAAGTTCCTTAAGCCTTGAATGGGGACTCACACTCAGATCACCCCAGTTTTCCCTGGAGCAGCCCTGTAACACTAGTACCTATCTAGAACTCCATAGAAAAAAGTCTACACAGAGAAGAAATGTGTGATGGTCTTTAAAATCCTCTCCAGTCCTTAAGATTCCATTACAGGTAGAAAGCAAAACATATGCCTTTGTTGTAGCAGTGGATTCCTTCATAAAAAGAAATTTATCACGGGCCCTCCCTGGTAGCACAGCAGGTTAGGACGCACCACTGCAAGTCAGCCACAGTGGCTTCAGTGCGAGTTCGAGCCCCAGCCCCAGAGGGGACCCACATGGCGCGGCAGACCTCTCCTGACCCGCCCGCTGCTCCCCTCAGCAGTGGACTTCCTCTATCTGCCTGTTCTGCTCCCCACTCTCTCTGGTGAAGCCTCTCACCGCCCCTGCACCTCTGGCCTGTACCCCAGTTCTGTATGCATAAATAAATAAATCTTTAAAAAATAATAAAATTATCACATGGAATTAATTGATGATAATAAAACCAGCTATCATTTTTATCTAACAGATTATTATAAGTATTGATCCAGATAGTTAACACTGTTTCATGTAAAAATTCCTGACTGTAGGTAGCATCACGACACTGTCCTTATTTTCCTAAAAGGAGTCCAAAGAGCTGAGCACCTGAAAAATCTCTGACAATAAATAGATTGCCTTCATTTGTTAACTCTAGCCAAAAGAAAAAAATGAGAGAAACATATTGGCCTTTTTTTTTCCTCTCATAGTTGTATGTGTTTCTCAAAAGTCTGGTTGAAATCATCTAAGTATTATAAAACCTGTTGAAATTCTGAAAGGAAATTGGGAAATTTGAAGGTTAAGCCTAAGTTTCTTTCTTTTATATACAGTCGTTCTTAGTTTGCTTCAGATTTTCTTTTTTGTATTTCCCAGTGTAAGTTGTGGCTGTGAATTAAAAATAAAGCGCATGAAAAGCACTCCATGGTTTTCATCTGTAGGAACTCTCTTCGGGGAAAACCTTCATGGAATTTTAAAGTTTGCAAACTTCTGTGAGATTGCTCTACCATACTCAGCAATGCTTGGATTGTCAAACCTCCAAGTAGAGACACAAAAAAGAGTTATTTGACCCTTTGGAAATAAGAAAGTGCTTATTAATAAGGAAGAATTTAAAACTCCATGCAAATAAGCTTCCAATGTAGCTGCCTCACCGCTGACCAAATAGTTCCAGCTGTGTCTGATGGACATGCCAGATTAAAGCACGTCCTGAATGCTGCAGCTTAAACTTACAATTCTGGTAATGATCAGAAAAGTAGAGAATAAAAGAAGCAGAGGAAAATGCATGCAAAATGGGGTCATGTATAGAGGGAGTGACAGATAATCCACACGCTAATAAAATTACAAAAGCCTAATTGTAATAACCTAGAAGATCAGTCTTAAAGTCACATTTCTAGACCTGTAAAAGCATACATGCCAGAGAGATTTGCAGCCAAAAAGTGAAGTAAAGGGCCCTCCCTGGTGGTGCAGCGGGTTAAAGTGCAACCCTGTGAAGCTAATCCCAGCCACTTCAGAACAGATTCAATCCCCAGCCAGGGAGGTGACCCACGCGTGGCAGACCTCTCCTGTCTTGCTCACTGCTCCCCTCAGCAGTGGACTTTGTCGGTCTGCCTGTTCTGCTCCCCACTCTGTCTCTGGTGAATCCTCTCACTGCCCATGTACCTCTGGCCGTTACCCCAGTTCTGTATGCACAAATAAATAAATCTTAAAAAAAAAGATTTATATATAAACAAATAAATCTAAAAAAAAAAGATTTATTTATTTGTGCATACAGAACTGGGGTACAGGCCAGAGATGCAGGGGAGGTGAGAGGATTCACCAGAGAGAGTGGGGAGCAGAACAGGCAGATTAACGAAGTCCACTGCTGAGGGGAGCAGCGGGCGGGTCAGGAGAGGTCTGCTTCGCCCTGTGGTCACCTCTGGGGCAGGCAAGGATCAAACTCATGCAGAAGTGGCTTTAGCTTCTTAGTGCTGTGCTTTAACCCGCTGCGCCACCAGGGAGGGCCCAAATAAATCTTTTTTAAAAGAAAACGTGAAGTAAAATGACAGGCCTTGTCAGGAAAGGATATTGAATATGGAGCAGTACCTCATACCAGTGTTGCAATATGGAATACTCGTATAGTTTAAATTGCTAAGCGATAATGTACACCCAAGAAATAAAGTCTGCCTAGAGAAGTTTGTATCTCACAAGTTT